CTTATTTAAAAAATTGAAACCTTCTAAGCAGTTCAGAAATAACGTATCTTTGAAAATTTTCACACTTTCTAAAGAGTCCAAAAATAGTGCAATGATCACAGTTGGGTTTTGTCATATTTTCATAGTCAGCTGTCCCTCCTTGATTCCCTGCCCCCACATATGTGTAAGTATTTATGATTATTTAAGTTTTTAAGTTTAATTAATTTTTGTTGTATAATTTTGAGAGCTGTTTGAAGACATCAGAGCATTTCATCCCTGAATTCTTTGATATGTATCTGCTAAAAGTAAGGGCATTTTGATACCACATTACAATTATCACACTTGAAAAATTTAACATTGATATACAATTTGTTTTCTAATATCTGGTCCATATTCAAACTTACCCAGTTGTCTCACTGACATAAGTTATAACTGTTTTGTTTTTAATATCCATGATTTAATCAAGCCTCACACATTATATTGAATTATCCTCTCTTTAATTTACTTTGGAGTCATTTCTCATCCTTTTGTTTTTCTCCAGTTCTTAGTATTCAACACAAGGCAAGCACTCTACCATTAAGCTACATCTGCAGATCTTTTATAAATATAATTTTGAGATGGGGTCTCAATAAGTTGTTGAGATAGGCCTTGAAGTTGCTATCCTCCTGCATCAATCTCCGGAGAGCTGAGATTACAGGCATGTGCCACCACACCTAGCTCTCACCTCATCTTTCTCTCTTTCTTTCTTTCTTTCTTTGTTCTACTTAGTTGTGTCCCCTCTCACCCCCACTTTTTTTTTTTTAATCTTTTATAACTGACATTTTTTTAAGAATCCAGGCCTGTTATTTTACAGAATATCCCTTAACTTAGAGTTATCATTTCCTCATGAAAATAACATTTTAAATTGGTTAATCACCTCTTGGAAGAATGTTACATAGGTTCCGTTGTGTTTTCATGCATGGACTTAGGAGGCACATTATGTCAGTCTGTTCTATTATTTGATTAAGCTAAGTTTGATCACTTGGTTAAGACAGTGTTCATTAGATTTTTCATTGTACAAATAGTTTTTTCCTTTTGCAGCTAGTAAGTGATCTATGGGATGATTGTTAAAGATAATATGAATTTCCTGTCCCCTGATACTCTTTTTTATGTGGGGAGGAGTTACTGGGGATTGAACCCAGAGGCACTTTACCACTGAGCCATCCCCAGGCCTTTTATTTTTTATTTTGAGACTGGGTCTTGCTAAGTTGCTGAGGCTGGCCTCCACCTTGCAGTCTTCCTCCTTTAGCTTCCAGAGTTGCTGGGATTACCACCAGACCTGGCCCCTAATAATCTTTTACCTAGTGATTTTATAATCACTTGTTTCTTGCCCAACTCAAATATTACTGTAGTGACTATAAGATGAAGATTTTTTAAAAATTTTTCTTTTCTTTTTTTCCCCCTAGTACTGGGGGGCAGGGTGAATCCAAGGACACTTTACCACTGTGCTACATCCCCAGCCCTTTTTATTTTTTATTTTGAGATAGGGTCTCACTAAATTCATGGGCTGGCCTTGCTCAAACTTGCAATCCTCCTGCTTCAGCCTCCCAAGTCACTGGGATTACAGGCGTGGGCCACTGTGCCTGGTGAGAGACTTTTCTATTTATTTATAGTTTTCTATTTTGTGATTTGTCTGTTAAGAAGTACTTTTCCCTTTGTTTTTTTAAGACTCAAAGCCAGGTACAGTGTTGTGCAACTGTAGTCTCAGTGACTCGATAGGCTGAGGTAGGAGGATCACTTGAGGCCAAGAATTGAAGACAAGCCTTTGTAACAGCAAGACCTGGTCTTAAAAAAAAAAAAGAGAGAGAGAGAATCAGTCTGGTCTTGGACTTGTATTTCCATCTCAATGTGTTACCTATTTTTGTCATCATTATTTTTGGTTCTCAAATTGTCCTAAATTTCACTAATGAGATCCCTTTTCAAAAGGCTTCTCTGTGCTTTTACTATATCCACATCAATTTTTGAGCAGTACCTTACTTTCTGGTATAATGGAGTTCTTTAGATTTTCCTTGCACTTTTTCATGACTCCGGCCTAAAATCATCCATTTCTCCAAGGTCTCTGGTTTCTATTGGCAAAGAATGATATTTACAAACCAATATCTGCATGTTAGCTATGTTTCTTGCTACTAAAGTGACTCTTTTTAGTAGACAGAGCTAGAAAATTGTTTTTTGTTTTGTTTTGTTTTTAAAACCATATCTTCATATTGCCACCCTAATTCTAGTCCAGTTTTATAAGGTTGTTCTTCCCTTGGTCCTTTTTTGTTAAGTGTGGAAATTGAAGCCAAGGTCTCACACATGCTAAGCAGGCACTCTAGCACTGAGCTACATCCCCATCCTTGGTAACAACATCAATAAAAGTACTCATTTGTTCAGTTATACAATACAGTTATTATACAACTCAGTGGTAGAGCATTTGCCCCTCATGTGAGAGACTGTGGGTTCAATTCCCACCACTGCATGTGTGTGTGTGTGTGTGTGCGTGCGCGTGTGCAGGCACACACACATACACACACAGAAGAGAATTGCAATACCGATATTGTTACTAAGCTATAAGCATACTAAGTATGGTTTAAGATTTCTTTGTAATGTTTTTTGTATTCACATATTATCAAGTGTGTGCAGCCTAGTGTTAAGTTTCTTTTTCTTAAGTAAAGTTATCAGCATAATATTCAATTAAATGTATGCATTTCTGTCACATTCAGTTTTATTTTCCATTTCCATCTTTGTTGATATTTTATTCTAGGAATGTGTAAAACATTAATATGTTTCAGAAATCAAGATGTCTATAATTATAATATTTGATTTTGTCAGGAAAAATGGATACTCAAAAGTCTTAGTCTCTTTCCTGTCCTACCACTCTTAATAGCTTTGGGTATGTCTTTGTTATGTTCACTTTTACAGGTGTAAGCAGATACATATCTGATTCTTATTTTCCCTTTCTTGCACGAAAGGACAGCATTATACATACACACTCATTCAGGTGCTCACTACTTTTTTTTGTTTGGGTACTAGGAATTGAACCCAGGAGTGCTTTACCATTGAGCTACATTGTCAGTCCCCACCCCGCTTTTTTTTTTCTTTTTGAGCCAGAGTCTTTCTCTGAGTTGCTCTGGGTGATCTCAAACTTGTGATCCTCCTGCCTTAGCTTCCTTAGTATCTGGGATTATAGGCATGGGCCACCATACCCAGCTCATATACTCTTTTGTATCTTGCTATAATAGAGTGTTCCTTATTCTTTTTATAGCTTTTGAAGAATACCTTGTGTAGATACTATAGGTTTTCAACCAATATCTTAAGAATGGGCTTACGAATATAAATTTAAGAATAAGTTTGTAATGTTTCACTGTTGCAAGTAATGTTGCAACTAATAACCTTGTGTATTTACTTCCCATCTTACTAGAGGTGTACCATTAGGGTACTAGAACTTCAACTTAGTGTGTCCAAACAGTACATTATTTTCCCAAAACTTTTTTTGCCCCGCTTCCGTTTCCTGTTATTGACTGATACCATTTTCTATTATTTAAACAGAAACTAGGCTATCATTGTTTTTATTTAATTATTCAGAAAATACAATTGATATACCTTTAGCCTTTCTTTTTTTCTTTTTCTACTTTGATTTTCTTAGTTACTCATCTTCTTAGTTTCCTGTACTATAAGTTCTAACTAGTCTCATTTCTTCACTAAAACTCCATACCATTACTAGCACTTTCTTTTTTTTTTTTTTTTTTTTAATTCACCAGGGGTCCCCAACCACTGGGCCACATCCCCAGCCCCTTTTTATATTTTTATTTAGAGACAGAGCCTCACCAAGTTGCTGAGGCTGACTTTGAACTTGTGATCCTCCTGCATCAGCTTCCTGAGCTGCTGGGATTATAGGTATTCACCACTGTGCCCAGCCACTATTAGCACTTTCTTAAAGCCAAACATTACATTATTTAACTCATCTTAACATATCTTCTTTGACTCTAAAATAAGATTCCAATACCTTTGCTTAGATGCCAAAGCCATTTCCTGGCCTCTGCCTACTTCTCCAGCCTAATCTCTAACCACTTGTTACCATACTGAAATGTTTATAGATTCCTCAGGCACATTCTGTCCTGTCAAGCCTCTTTTGCACTAGAATGCCTTTGAGGGGGTGGGTACCAGGGATTGAACTCAGGGATACTCGACCACTGAGTCACATCCCCAGCCCTATTTTATATTTTATTTAGAGGCAGAGTCTCACTGAGTTGCTTAGCTCCTCACAGTTACTGAGGCTGGTTTTGAACTCATGATTGTCTTGTGTCAGCCTCCCAAGCTGCTGGGATTATAGGTGTGCGCCACCGCACCTGGCTGGAATGCTTTTTTCACCTTCCACATTTTAAAAAATTATTTATTTCTTAATTGTAGTTGGATATAATTTTATTTTTATTTTATGTGGTGCTAAGGATCAAATCCAGGGCTTTGCATGTGTTAGGCGAACACTTTACCTCTGAGCCACAACCCCAGCCCCAACATTTTATCTTAATAACTTTTCAAAGTATAGTTTAGGTATTGTAACTTCCAAAAAGACTTCTTGCCAGGTCAGATGCTGTTGCCCTGTTCACCAATAATGCTGTATGTTTATGTCCAATGAATTCACTTTCCTCCCTGATACTTTGGGCTCCTATGGATAGGGCACTCCTTCTGTTAGTTCTGCTTTCTTGGCACAGAGCCTGGAGCATAGTAAATAGTAGTAACAGTTAGTGAATATATGAATAGACTTAATCTTGTTTATAGATTTTTTTTTTTTAGAAAACGTGTCTCTAGGTTTCATTTACATGTTTACTGCAAAAAACCCTAACTAGTTCAAATGTGTAGAAGTGAATGTGTTTTATTACCCCATCTCAGTTTCTAGTAGGAACCATACCATGTTGGTTAGAAAAGCACAAAATAGATTTCCAGTTACTATAGAGTAAAAATGTTCACTATTTTGTTCTTATAGTTCATCTCTTTTCCTTTAGGCAATGATAGTAAGAAATGCTAAAGATACAGCTCATACAAAAGCAGAACGGAATATTCTGGAGGAAGTAAAGCATCCCTTCATTGTGGATTTAATTTATGCCTTTCAGACCGGTGGAAAACTCTACCTCATCCTTGAGTATCTCAGTGGTCAGTACACAGTTTGGTGTAATTGTTTGCATTTGCTCTAGAAACTGGGCTAAAACATTATTTTCTATTGGAAAATATACTTTTCCCTATCATTATCAAATAATTTTCAGAATTGATGAGTACATCGAAGTAAGGAATTCAGATATAAGCAAATGTTTCTATTTGTAGACAAATATGAAAAAAATCTTTGAAGTTTACATTTTTTTCCCCAATATGTAAAATTTTGTCTTAAGCCTTTCATAGTCAATCATTAAAAAAATAATAACAGACAACATGTTGGGTCCTGGTGGCTCACACCTGTAATCCCAGCAGCTTGGGAAGCTGAGGCAAGAGGGTCACAAGTTCTAGGCCAGCCTGGTGGGCAATTTAACAAAACCCTGTCTCAAAATAAAAATTAAAAAAGGGCTGGGGATGTAGCTCAGTGATAAAGAATCCCTGGGTTCAATCCTCATTATTATAAAAATGCAAATACCTACTCAATGCAGAATACCTACTTATGCTAGAATTGAGATACTATAATTCAAACAAACCATTAAACTAGTCCTTTATAAACTGAACTGAAAAAACTTACTGAAAGTATTAAGATACTTCATTCTTGCCAGTGGCAGTGGCACATGCCTTTAATCCCAGTAACTCCAGAGGCAGAGGCAAGAGGATCTCAAGATCAAGGCCAACCTGGACAATTTAGTGAGACACTGTCTCATGATGAAAACAAATAAATAAAAAAAGGGTTGGGATGTACCTCAAAGTGAAAGCATACCTCAGTTCAATCCCCAGAACTGGTGGGGGGTTGGGGGAGATAGTGTATACTATTGTATTATATTTTTAAAAGTTTGGTTGATGCATCGTTGGTGATAGGATATACAGTTTGCAGTGTGAATTGTCCACATTTTTCAGGGCCTACCATCTGCTGGGAACTCATTGTTTCCCATATCACTTCTAGATCAGAGGTATCTTATTTCCAACAAATAATATTTGGGAGAAAATAACAGAGATTTTGCAATAGCTTATAACTTGGAGAGAAAGCTGAAGAATTTAGCAACATATTTGTGACTATTGCCATTTTTTCCTGTAGCTTTATTTTCACATAATTTCAAACCCATATTTTTAAAAAAGTCTCAATAGGGGCTGGGGTTTTACCGTAGTGGTAGAGCGCTTGCCTTGCATGCGTGAGGCCCTGGGTTCGAACTTGAGCACCACATAAAATAAAGAAAGAAATCGTGTCCATCTACAACTTAAAAAAAAAAAAAAAGAGTCTCAATAATACAAAAAACTCTTGGTTGGGGATGTGGCTCAAGCGGTAGCGCGCTCGCCTGGCATGCGTGCGGCCCGGGTTCGATCCTCAGCACCACATACAAACAAAGATGTTGTGTCCGCTGAAAACTAAAAAATAATACAAAAAACTCTCATATACCCCTCACCTAGATTCTCCAGATGATATCAGATTTTTACCACTCTTTGTTTTATCTTCGTCTATGTATGTATACACACACACTCATATGCACTTACATAATTTTTTTCTTTTTGTGGTGCTAGGGATCAAACACAGGGCATCATCATCATTATTATTATTATTATTATTTTAGTACCTGGGATTGAAGCCAGGGGCACTTAGCTACTGAACCACATCCCCAGTCCTTTTTGTATTTTTCTGTTTAGAGACAGGGTCCCAGTAAATGGCCTAGGGCCTTGATAAGTTGCTGAGGCTGGCTATTTTTGGAGGGGGAGGGGCACCTGGCCTTGAACCCAGAGGCACTCTACCACTGAGCCACATCTCCAGCCCTATTTTGTATTTTATTTAAGACAAGGTCTCACTGTGTTGCTTAGGGCCTTGCTAAATTGCTGAGGCTAGCTTTGAATTCAAGATCCTCCTGCCTTAGCCTCCCAAGCCTCTGGGATTACAGGCATGGGCCACCTTGCCCGGCTTTTGGCTGGCTTTGAACTCATGATACTCTTGCCTCATCCTCCCCTGCCACTGGGGTTATGTGTGTGCCCCCAGGCAAGGCAAACTCAGGGCCTTATGCATACCAGGCAAGCACTCTACCACTGAACCACATCCCCAGCACTAGTTACATAAGTTTTGAACTGTTTAAGGATTTCATAGACATGATTTCCCTTTACCCCTAAAACTTCAGTGTTTATTTTCTAAAATCAAGAACAGTGTCTTACATGACTATACTAAAATTATCAAAAAATAGGAAATTAAAATGGATACATAATCTCTCTCTTTAGTAGTCTAAGTTAGAATAGTTATTCAGTCTTTCTTTGTCTCTCATGATATTTACATAAAAAAAATTTGTAGTTATAGATGGACAGCATAACTTTATTTTATTTATTTTTATGTGGTGCTGAGGATTGAACCCAGTGCCTCACATGTGCAAGGCAAGTGCTCTGCCAGAGAGCTACAGTCCCAGCCCGATGTTTACAGTTTTTAAGCATATAGGCCAGTTACTTTGTAGAATGGGTTAATTTAGTTTGTTGTTATTGTTTTTTGTAATTGTTGATGGACAAAATAACTTTATTTTATGTGGTACTAAGAGGATCAAACCCAGTGCCTCACACATGCTAGGCAAGCACTCTCCCACTGAGCTATCCAGCCCTCAATTTGGGTTTATTTGATGTTTCTGTAGGATTAATTAATTAATTAATTAATTTTTTGATACTAGGGATTGAACCCAGAGGCACTTAACCACTGAGCCATATCCCCAGCCCTTTTTAATATTTTATTTGTGACAGGGTCTCACTGAGTTGGTCTCACTTACTAAATTGCTGAATCTGGCTTTGAACTCAAAAATCTTCCCTGCCTCAGTCTCCCGAGCTGCTGGGATTACAGGTATGCACCACTGCACCTGGCTCCCTCTTTTTTTATTTTGAGACAGGGTTTCACTGAGTTGTTTAGAGCCTTACTAAGTTACTGAGGCTGATTTTGAACTATCAATCTTCAGCCTCAAACTTGAGGGATTGATGGGATTACATGTGTGCACTACCATGCCTGGCTCCATGTTATGCATTTTTGGCAGGACCATTAGAGTGATATCATGTCTTTCTCAGTGCATCAGATATTTATATATTTTTTTTTAATATTTATTTTTTAGTTGTAGTTGGACATGATACCTTATTTTTTTGATTTATTTTTATGTGATACTGAGGATTGAACCCAGGGCTGCGCACCTGCTGGGCGAGTGCTCTGCTACTGAGCCAAAACTCCAGCCCTGATGTTTATATCTTTGCCCCATTACTAATAATTTTGTTCACTTTGGTCATACGTGTAAGATGGTTTCTGCTGTTTTGTTTTTGTTTTGGTACTGGATATTGAACCCAGGGGCACTTTACCACATCCCTAGTCCTTTATTTTATTTTATTTTGAGGCAGGATCTCACTAAATTCCAGAGGTTGGCCTGGAACTTTCTCTCCTCTTGCCTCATCCTCCTGAGTCTCTGGATAAGTATCTTTTAAGGACATACTTTGAAATTATTTAAATTTACATCTCTCATCGAGTTTTCATGTTCACTTTTCTCATCTGTTGATTGGGGTGGGGGTGGTAATGAGAATTAAACCCAGGGGTGTTTACCATTAAGTTACATCCACAGATCTTTTTCGAGACAGGGTCTTACTACATTGCTAGGCTGGTCTCAGATTTGTGATCCTCTTCCTTTAGTCTCCTGGGTTGCTGAGATTACAGGCATGCACCTCTGCACCTACCCATCCATTGATTTTTGCCTGTAATAATTAATTGTAATGTTTACCAAGTGATTTTTTTTCCTTATTCTATCATGTCTCTTTCATTTATTATTTGGCATCCTACTGCAATAAAATTTTATTATTTATTTACCTCACTACGGTCTCATGGATTTTAAGATTATTTGGTAGAATAAGTCCTTTATTATTTATTTTCATACTCAAATTATGCCATATTTTACAAGGCCACTGCAGTGTTGTTTCAGTTTATTTAAGTGTTCTGAAAATATGGAATATTACTACTATTCACTAAAATTAATGAGGGTAGCTTAATAGTATACTAATGTCTTTCTACTTATGAATAAAATGTTGAAGAGGATTTAATCAAGATTCTTTTTATTTTCTCAAGTCTGATATTGACATATATTTGGAAGTTTGTATATGTAAAACGTAGAATTCTAAGTGTATTCTACTTTTAAACTTACATGTTTCATGTTTCAGGGCTGGGGTTGTGGCTTAGTGATAGAGCACTCACCAGCACAGGTGGGGCACTGAGTTCAATCCTCAGCACCATATTAAAAATAAATAAATAAATAAAAAATATAGTGTCTACCAACAACTAAAAAAATTTTTAAAAAATTTAAAAAAACCTTATATGTTTCATAGAGGAATATGAATACTGCCAGAAATAGAATCCTGCAGACTTTATTTTAAAAACTATAATTTTTAGGTTCTGTGTTTTATTTTTAAAGATTTTATTTTTAATCATGGTTAAAAGGAAAGCAAAAACTTTCTCATTAGTAGTGGATTGGAATTAAAGATGGTTTTGTTTCTAATGTCTTTACCTTTCCTTCACAGGAGGAGAACTATTTATGCAGTTAGAAAGAGAGGGAATATTTATGGAAGACACAGCTTGGTAAGTGAAATTTTGTGGTTGCATGGATTTAGATGATGATTCACATCATTAAAAGCAAAGCCCCATTCCTACTGTGGGCAGCCACATGATTCAATAAATTGATCTGGAGCCAGTCAGTAACTCAGAACCTCAAGGGGGAGAACTAGCTCTGGGACCTGGCAGCTATTGGAGGTCACATCATTCCTTTGCCCCCAGGCCTTGGGTGGACGGCTCTTCACACCAGTTGTTCCTAACAGAATCATTCTCATTGCGACTTTCTTTCCTTGAATTGGTAAGCTGCTTGCCTTGGCTGTGGGTGAGTGTGGTTTTTCCAGTGAAACTTTATGTGTGGAACAGTGGAAAGTATCAGAAATCATCTCCTCTTTTTTTTAGACTTTCCAGTTCCCAAGGTGCAATCTTAGGGAGGTGATAAGCCTGCACATATCATCTGTGGATTGGTTATGTAGCCAGAATGGGATCTACCCTCCTATTTGTAAGATGGCATCTGCTTCAAATTAAAAATATACACATCCTTTTGTGAAGCGACAGTATTGGGTAACAATAACTCAGTTTATCCTACACATTAATTGAATAGAAAACAACACTTAAATGTTTTTTCTACCTTAATTACCAAACTGCATTCCATTGTTTAATTTCAGGCCTTTTCTAACACAGAAGCTGCATTTAAGAGCCTTAGGGATGAAGTGCCCTTTTTTGGAGGAGGCTCTCTGAGCCATGTTGGAGGCTGTATTTGTGGTCGTGCTGGCTGTGAAACTGCCTCAGTCCTCTAGGACACACCCTCTCCATCCTGGAGTAATCTGCAGGATTGCAACCTTGTTATGCAGCCAGTATTGCAGTGCCTTGTGCTTTTCGAATCCAGACAGGGTTGATTCAGCCCTTTATTCTTTTGAGGTAGATAAATTTGAGTGTAACACAGTTTATAGTTGTGGGCTGGCTGGCAAGAGGGAGGGCAGGTACTGTGGGCATCTGTCTATAAATATACAGTTGTATTAAATAAGGGATGAATGGGTTTTAAGGGTCAGATTATAAGGTAACTTTTAAAATCAAGACTTGATCTCTGAGAAAAAAGTTCCTGTTTCCTGTGGGATTTTAAAGTTGAGGGTGGGTGGGAGGAATTTGCTTTGATCTGAATGACTGTTGACCTAATTCCTACACAGAACAGAACATGATCAGTGACAGTTTAGCATATCCTGAATATCTTTGCATTTTTAGCAGTATATTCTAATGGCAAAATGAAAAGTTTTATAATTTCACTAAAATGAGTGAAACATAAATGTCCCATGCCTTTGGCAGCATCCTATGCCATCTCTTTTCCACATACATCCCCTCACCCCTCTAATTTGGTCTTTGGTGCATGTCTGTTTCTTTCAAGGAATTTTGCTCCATACATAAACTGCATTGGGTAGATTACTCTTTTAATTTTATTAAATCACTTTTGTTTCCAGCTTTTACTTGGCAGAAATCTCCATGGCTTTGGGGCATTTACATCAAAAGGGAATCATCTACAGAGACCTGAAGCCGGAGAACATCATGCTTAATCACCAAGGTGGAGATATATTATAAATAGTTCTGCAGTAAATAATCATCTTAAAATTCTCCCACATGGGTCATGCCCATTTTCAAAGTCCCAATATCATCTTTTATTATGCATTTCCTTCCTTGGAATTTGTGGCATAATCATAGTTGATGTTTAAGTATTTAGGTAGTTAGGGTAGATATGAGTAAAAGAAGTTGAAGCTAATAGCCCCTCTTTTTTGGTGGCACATGGGGATTAAACTCAGGGTATCCTACAACGAAGCTACATTCTCAGCCCTTTTTTATGTTTGGGGCGCAGTTTTTTGGTAAATTGTTGAGGCTGGCCTCAAACTTGCAATCCTCCTGACTCAACCTTCAGAGTCCCTGGGATTATTGCCTGACATGGGATTATTGCCACCATGCTTGACAAGAGCTACTCTTTTCTTTCTTTTTTGGGGGGAGGTGGGGGGTGGGGGGTATAGGGATTGAACACAGGGGTACTTAACCACTAAGCCACATCCCCAGCCAAGGAGCTACTTTTTATAGCTTTTCTTTTTAAATCTGTATGTTGTGTTGTGAAAATAATATCAGAAGCAATACTTTTGTTTTTGGTGTAGTGGTACTAGGGATTGAATCTAAGGGCACTCCACCACTGAGCTACACTCCCAGCCTTTATTTATTTATTTTAGTACTGAGGATTTAACCCAAGGGCACTTTACCTTTTTTTATTTTTTTGATTTGAGACAGGGTTTCACTAAGTTTCTGAGAGTCTTGCTAAGTAGCTGAGGCTGCCCTGGAACTTGAGATACTCTTGAGTTGTTGGGATTACTGATGTGTGCCACCACACAGGACTCCCAACCATTGTTAATTATTTTTTAAAAAAATTTTAAAAATATATTTTTTTAGTTGTTGAAGGACCTTTATTTTATTTATTTGTTTATACATGAGAATTGTTTAATTTATCTAATTGTTTTTTAATTTATTTATTTGTTTATACAATGAGAATTGAACGCAGTTCATCACACATGCTAGGGAAGTGCTCCACAACTAAGCCACAACCCCAGCCCACTGTTTATTTTTATTTTGAGCCAGGTCTTAGTAAATTGTTGAGGCTGGCATCGAACTTGTAGTCCTCCTGCCTCAGGCTCCTGAGTTGCTGAGATTATAGGTGTGTACCACCATGCTCAGCTGGAAGTAACATTTTTATGATAATTTTTTCTGATGCTGGAAAAAGGAAAGAATTGAAATTGAACCAAAGTATGTGATAGAGCCTTGGAAATAAAATGTTTAGTAAGCATCAGTTAATTCTTGTTGTTTTGTTACAACAAATATAAACATCAAGAGACTAATGTTCTTTACAGCTGTAGGCATATCAAAGTGATCTTTGACTGGGGCTGGGGATGTGGCTCAAGCGGTAGCGTGCTCGCCTGGTATGCGTGCGGCCCGGGTTCGATCCTCAGCACCACATACACACAAAGATGTTGTGTCTGCCGAAAATTAAACAATAAAAATAAATAAAAATTATTAAAAAAAAAAAAAAAAAAAAAAAAAAAAAACAAAGTGATCTTTGACTACAACTGCATGATACTATAGATAGCTCAGTTTATTCTGTAGTCATCTGGGTTGGGTAGACTTAGCAGTTCACTCACACTCCAAAGGAGGAAGCAGCAGACCAGAGTACCTAAGGAAGCTGGCAGAAGCTTCTGATCTAAAATGTCTACAAAATTATCCATGAGATAGTTAACTGTTTCAGATTTTGGGGCACAAAATGGTGCATGGACAACTGGGGTCAATATAAATGTTCCAAATAGTGCTGCTTTTTTTTTTTTTTTTTTTAAGAGAAATGATAGTTAACTAAGCACATCATGAGAATCAGTATCTTTACCTTTCTCCCACTTCCCATCAGCCCCTATCCCCAAAATTGGATTCTGATTCTATAATTCTAAGGCAAAAGATAAAATAGGGAAGTGATGAAATGGTAAAATTCTTTGATCCATGAGTTTGAGTACATCAGGTGGTTCTATGAAAATAAAGTCCATAATTCTCTTCTATGTCATTATATAGTATATATCTACTTTGGAATTAATAGGCTACTACCTTTTCTTTTCTCTGAAATGAACCTAAAATATCAGGGCCCCTGGTGTTGATCAAATGATAATTCAGTAAAGCTAAACTTGAACTAAAATGATCTTTGTGAAAGGTGGAACTCCACTTTCTGGAGCTGAGACGATTATCCATGCCAAATTTATTTATTTGTTTATTTATTTATTTATTTATTGTTTTTAGTTATAGGTGGATGCAATATCTTTATTTTATTTTTATGTGGTGCTGAGGATTGAACCCAGTGCCTCACGCATGGTAGGAGGGCCCTCTACCTCTGAGGCACAACTCCAGCCCTCCCATGCCAATTTTAATTCTTCCCCCTAACTACTAGTAATTTGACAGTAAGTCATTTCATTTCTTTAACTGGAAGCATTTGGCAGAGAAATTATGTTGTAATGACTTTTTGAGATCATTTTAAGAATTCTCAAGTTCATTGTGATATAGCTTTATCACTTTATCACAATGAACTTGACAGCTCCATCCACAACTTTCATTTAAAAGGTACAGAATATGTTTGTTAGGTTCTGTGTACTTAAACTAGACTTCAGAAAGAGGCTTTCCTAATACTTTCCTTTTTTTATAATGGAAAAGGACTCTACATATAGGTAAAGGCAGAACCTTAGACAAGCTGTTCCACTTCTTCTGTTTTATCTTTACTAGATTATATCATTGGCAAAAAAAATGACTCTGTCCTAACCTTAAAGAATTAGCACTCCATCTTATGAGTAGCACCTAATTAGTTCTTGATATTGTCAAGGTGAAGGCAAGGAAAAGTTAAATGGATAGATTTTCTTGTCTTGTATGATATGTTCAAACACTGCATATACTTAAAGCTCTCAGAATAATCATGTTTTAATCTTTTATTGTAGGTCATGTGAAATTAACAGACTTTGGACTATGCAAAGAATCTATTCATGATGGAACAGTCACACACACATTTTGTGGAACAATAGAATACATGTGAGCTGCATGTTAAAAGAAAATATAACTGGTTTGGGGGTAATATCTAACTTTTACATGATTTAAGTAATAGTGTGTTAGTTTTCTATAGTATCATTGACTTTTATATTGTTTTTAAAATTGTAATTCAGATAATATGCAAATGGGTGAATTTTTAGGCTTTTGTTTTTCTCATTATAGGGCCCCTGAAATCTTGATGAGAAGTGGCCACAATCGTGCTGTGGATTGGTGGAGTTTGGGAGCATTAATGTATGACATGCTGACTGGAGCAGTAGGTGCACAGTTAAAAGTTGCATGTATTAAGATCTGTGTCAAATAGTTATTAAACCACTACAGCAAGAGACCTTCCCTTTACTTACAGAAAATGTCACAAGTAAAGTTATTTTCAAACCCAAAGATTTGTTTATCAGCAGTTTAACACTTGTAATGTTTTATGATTATATAGGATTCTTTTTTTTGGTACTGGGAATTGAACTCAGGGGTGTTTTACCACTGAGCTACACTCTCAGTCCTTTTATTGTTTTTTATTTTATTTTGAGACAGGTTCTCACCAAGTTTCTGAGGTTCATATTAAGTTGCTTGGCAGGCTTCCAAGTTGCTGGGATTACAAGTATGCACCACTGAACCCATCAGGATTTCATGCCTTTTTTTTTTTGGTACCAGGGATTGAACCCAAGGGTGCTTAACCACTGAGTCATATCCTCAGCCCCTTTTTAAAATTTTTTACTTCAAGACAGGATCTCACTAGGTTGCTTATAGCCTCGATAAGTTGCTGAGGCTGGCTTTGAACCTGTGATCCTCCTGCCTCAGCCTCCTGAGTTGCTGGGATTACAGCATGCTCTACCATGCCCTATTGGATTCCACACTTTTTTAAAAACATTTTTATTTAAATGGTCTATGTCATGGCAATCCCGTGAAATAGATGTGAGATTATCTAATGAGTTATTTTAGAAAAGGAGGAATGAAAGCATAAAATTCCATGCCTCATTGCTAATCACATGGCAAGTTAACAGAAGAAACCCAGTCTTCCTTACTGGGCATTGATATTTCTTCTATACCATTGCTTTAAAACTACAGGTCTTTAGTAGTTAGCTCATTTCACAACATATTTTTGATCGCTACAAATGATTGATTAATTCAAGAAATGGATAATATCATTTAATATTTTTTGTATGCTAATTTTTCTCACTCTTTTCTACCTTTAGCCTCCATTCACTGGGGAGAATAGAAAGAAAACAATTGACAAAATCCTCAAATGTAAACTCAATTTGCCTCCCTACCTCACACAAGAAGCCAGAGATTTGCTTAAAAAGGTAGGGTTCTTTTTATTTTATTATTTTGTAATGCTGGGAATAAAACCTAGAGCCTCACACATGCTGGGCAAGTACTGTACCACTGAACTATATCCCTAATCCATGGGTAGAGTTCTTTTTTTTTTTTTTTTTAATTAGTTACACATGACAGTACAATGATCTTGACAGTTCATACATTTGAATCAAATGGGGTATAATTTCTCATTTTTCTGATTGTACAGGTTGCAGAATCACATTGGTCATACAGTCACCTATATACATATAGCAATAATAATGTCTATTTTATTCTGCTGCCCTTCCTATCATGGGTAGAGTTCTTAAAAAGGCAAACTATAAACCTCAATAAATAGAATTGTAGTTAACTAGTTAGGATTTGTCACATATTTTGAATAAAAAATCATACATAAATATTGAACCAAAAAGCCTGAAATTTTTGAAAATAAAGAACAAATTTAAAGATTTTATTTTTGTTCTCAAACAATATTTGTTAGTTATGAATAAATTACATTTGCTCAAGGCAAAATAGAAAACAAATTCTAAAAAGAAAAAAGCATTCAATTTAAGTAAGTTTCTTCATTAGTACTTTTTTCCTCCCTAAAGCTGCTGAAAAGAAATGCTGCTTCTCGACTTGGAGCTGGTCCTGGGGACGCTGGAGAAGTTCAAGTAGGGAATTGGCATGTTTGATGTTTGGGGAGAAGATGATGCCTAATTTTATTTATGTGTGAGGTTGAATGTAGTTGCTTATCAGTTTAGCTTGTTTTGTGATTTATAACTTCAAAAAGGTGGTTTATTTGTCATTTCTGTAAAGTCTAATCCCCTTGACTTTTTCTGTTCTTTTTTCCTAGGCTCATCCATTCTTCCGACATATTAATTGGGAAGAACTTCTGGCTCGGAAGGTGGAGCCTCCCTTTAAACCTCTGTTGGTATGTATATATGAAAGCATTTACTTTGAGGGATCTGGTACTTTTTTAGGGTAAGAAAAAAATTTCAGAACAGTCAGAAACATTACATTTATTAAATTTCAAAGGCACATTGATCTGTCCTCTCTTTTTAGAATTTTTGTATTATCTTTTCAAGAACTAATGCCGGTTGGCATTCAATGACTTTATTAGTTATTTTAAAGTTGATTTTAATATTTCAAGATGATGGGACTTGCTGGGCATGGTAGCACACACCTGTAATCTCAGTGGCTTGGGAGGCTGAGGCAGGAGGATTTCGAGTTTGAGACCAGCCTCAGTAACTTAGCAAGGCCCTGTCTCAAAAATCAAAAGGGCTGGGGATGTTGCTCAGAGGTAAAGCACCCCTATGTTCAATCCCCAGTACCAAAAAAAAAAAGGTTGGGACTTTTTTATTTTTCCTTTTTTGCTTTATTTGGTTTTGCTTAATTCAACCCCATTTTAAATATGATTCTCTGGGAACATTTTCTTCAAAATATAGAATATGTATGAATTATTTTTCTAACCTTACCATAAAAAAAGTGCCACAAAGTGGGTGGTTGACAGAAATTTATTTTTCTGTTGATCTGGAAGCCACAAGTCTGAGATCAAGTTGGCAGGATTGGCTCATTATGAGCAAGACTGTTCCTTGTCTCCCTATGCTGGCAATCTTTTTCATTGTTTGGATTTTAGGCACATCACCTGGATTTATTTGTCTATGAAATCAAATGATGTTCTACCTGTGTGCATATCTGTGCCTAGATTTCTCTTTTTTAATAAGGACAGCAATCATATTGGATTAGGGTCCCTTCCTCATCTTTACTGATCACATTCTACAACAACCCTTATCAGATAAGGTCACATTCTGAAGAACTGGGGGTTAGAACTTCAGCATATGAATTTAGGGATAGTACACAGTTCAATTGATAATAATATGCTGATATATAAATGAGTATTTGTTCTTTCCTCCTACCTCAGAACCTGAAAAAAATGATAGTTTCTTTTTCTGTTTCTTGGGATGTAGGTGAAGGAAGAGGAGGAAGATAATGATGATGATGATGATGATGATAATGATGATTTGGTTATAAAGTACAAGTTGACCTGCTTTAAAATGTTGGCATGTACAATTGTAAGGAGAAAAATCAACTAACATGCTTCCTGCCCAGAATCAAAGTGTTCAGTTTGTTTAAGCATAAACATGAACATGACCACTATGCTATCATCACACCTAAAAAGTTGATAATTTCCCCAGTTGTTTCCTTTTATTTTTTTAATCCTATCGGCTTCTTTAATAAGGTTTCAATCACAGTCTATATATAGTTTGCTATGTTTCTTTTATAGATAGCCCCTTTCCAATCTTCCCTTAGGGATTTATTGAAGAAACTCTTCATCCTCATGGCATCATTGACCATGTTCATGTTTCCTATATATATATATATATATATATATATATATATATATATTTAGTTATAGATGGACACAATACCTTTATTTTATTTATTTATGTGGTGCTGAGGATTGAACCCAATGTCTCACGAATGCTAGGCAAGCACTCTACCACTGAGCCCCAGCCCCAGCCCAGTTTCCTGTATTTTCAAAAACTGATTGTTAGATTTAGGTGCTTGATCTGATTTAGATTAAACTCTTGGTATTATATGCTTTGATAAGGAGGCCTAATGTGTAGTTGTATTTTTTCCAGTGATCTTTGATCAATACCTATGTCATTATTTCTTAACCAAGGGTAATTTTTGGTGGTGGGTACTTGGGATAGAACCCAGTGTACTCTACCCCTGAGCTACACTCCGTACCCTTTTTATTTATTTTGAGACAGGGTTTGCTAAGTTACCAAGTTTGGCCTTGAATTTGAAATTCTCCTAAATCAGCCTCCAGAGTCATTGGGAATACAGGCGTGCACCACCATTCCCATGCCAGTGGCAATTTGGCAATGTCTAGAAACATTTTGTTTGTCACAGTTTGAAGGAGAGGATAATAACTAGTACATGGGGGCTAGAATAGGACAGCCCCCTATAACAAAGATTTTTCAAGCCCAAAATGTCAATAGTGTTGAGATTGAGAAAAATCTAGCATAGTTCCATGATTACATTAATGGTTTGCAAAATGGTCTGTTCTTTTATGTTTATTTTTTATTCCCTGGAATTTTTCTTTTTGGGGGTGAGAGGATTCTGGGGATTGAACTCAGGAACACTCAACCACTGGGCCCCATCTCCAGCCCTATTTTGTATTTTATTTAGAAACAGTATATTACCGAGTTGCTTAGTGACTCACCATTGCCGAGGATGGCTTTGAACTTGTGATCCTCCGGCTTCAGCCTCCCAATCTACTGGGATTACAGATGTGCACCACATAACCTGGCTGGAATTTTTCTTTTTTTTTTTTTTTTAATTTGTTGTTTTTAAGTATACATGACAGTAATGTGTATTTTGACATATTATACATACATGGAGTTACAACCCATTCCAATTGGTATCACATTCTTGTGGTTGTATGTGATGTGGAGTTACATTGGTCATGTATTTATATATTGGAATTTTTCAATAAAAAGAGACTCTCATCACTTGTTTGGTTACCCAAGGTGCAGTTCATACAGGAGAGACATGATTGATTCTTTCCCAGTTTTCAAAATAATGAATTAGTTCCCTAGCATCTTCCTGAACTTGACTTGAATTTAAAAAAAAAAAAAATTAGTGTCATGAATCCATGCATTTTAACATATTTGCATTTCAATACATTGTAGTTTACTGATGCTTTTTCCAATTTTTATTTGACATGACTGCATTCTCTGCTATTGCTCTAGAGAGCAAAACAAGGAAATTGATATTCTGTGTATATCTTGTACATTTTCTTCTGTACACCTGGAATTAGCTATTTCTCCAAGGAGTGCTCATTCTTCCTCCTAGTGGAAAGTGGAGACATTGGGCTCTAAGAGTTCTCAATATTACTGGATTGATCATTGTTACTATGTCTTGATGTCTTTCTTTAGAAATATATTTTGTGAATAAGGTTATTGTTGTAATCTTTTAGTATTAAATCAAATTTTCTGAATTGATATTTATTTTCTTTGTAAGAGACCATCATAGAATTAAAAGAAATTCAAAGATAATTAAGATGCAGTGGGGCTTCTTGGTAGTTACAACTTTGGTGTACTAGAACATATGGAGAAATGACTTCTGAAGTCACAAAGCATATTCATTGTAGATCATACCTTACTCTTTAGGACTTCACCTAGAGTCTGTTAAGCCTACTGTAATGTATATTCTCACTTATTGCCAATGATAAATAGGAGAAAAGATAGGCCTGAGTCTGAGTATAAGAGATTGAATGTTCAGTCTATTATAAAAGTCTAACTATATTAGGAAAGAGAGAATGAATGAAAGAAATATATCTGATGGTTAGCACATAGGTGATACTATTCTTTCATGAGAAAATATTCTCATGCTGTGTAGACTCTTATTTTTGCTTCTTGAAAACTAAAAAGGAGTGAAATAAGCTGTGAAAGGAAACTTTATTATTTATCTATCTATCTATTTATTTATTTATTTATTTATTTATTTATTTATGTTTTGTAGTGCTAGAGATTGAATCTAGGGCCTCTAGTATGCTAAGCAAGCACTCTACTATTAAACTCCATCCTTAGCCCCTAACTGGAGCATCTTACAGGTGTGGCTTTACTCTTCTCTAATAGTCTTTTAGGGGCTGGGGATATAGCTCAGTTGGTAGAGTGCCTCCCTAGCATTTACAGGGCCTTGGGTTCGATCCCCAGCACCACCACCAAAAAAAAAAAAAAAGTCTTTAGATTTATTACAAACCTGCCATAGTCAGCTAAGCAAATTTTCTGAGTCTCAACAGGGATTTAGCCAGTGGACTAGACAGAATTGAAGATTTCTAAGAGGGAAAGGGAAAAATTAATATTTACATATTTAATAGGAATGATAACTATATATTAGAATCTATTTCAATGCATATGTAGAATGTGAAGATGTAATTTGACTGTTGATACTTTCCAGCTGCATTTTTTCTTTAGTCTGTGCCAAAAACTATTCTGATATTTTATTACAGTCAACCCCCGCGAAAAGAGCTTTTTGTACAGCTTGCAACAAACACAGTTGGTTGACATATGTAATATACTGTTCATCATTTTCTAATTCTTTTGTTTTCATAAAGCAATCCGAAGAGGATGTGAGTCAGTTTGATTCAAAGTTTACACGTCAGACACCTGTTGACAGCCCAGATGACTCAACTCTCAGTGAAAGTGCCAACCAGGTCTTTCTGGTAAGTAAAAAAAATTTCCATGTGGCCATGGGAAATTTAAATACAAGGATGGGTTTTTTTTGTTTTTTTTTTTTCAAGTTGTTGATGGACCTTTATTATTTATTTATTTGCTTACTTATTTATTTATATGCAGTGCTGAGAGTCAAACCCAGTGCCTCATACATACTAGGCAAATGCTGAGCCACAATAACATTGGTACCTACAAAATTTATTTTGATAAGCTAACACTCCATTTTAGCAATTAAAGTGTGAATTGTGGTTCTTTTCAATGTATGATTTCTTTTTTGGTTGAGCAACTGACTTAAAATGATGTTTGGCTTGGCACTGCAACCCAAAACCACACAGCCATTGCAAATGGGAGAAAAGCTTTTAATTTTTTCCAGAACAGCAGCAGATTGCTGGTAGTCTTAACTAAGTCTGTAGGGGATCCATAATGTCAACTGTGAATATTTGACATCAGAAGAGAGTGATCATTTGTGGTAATAATTATTCTTTTATGTAGAAGTACTTAAATGTGCTATGCCCCCAACCACAAGATCTGTTTATGTTATTATTCATTTTTCCAGTACTGGGGATTAAACCCAGGGATGCTTTATCACTGAACTACATCCCCACCCTTTTTTATTTCAAGACAGGGTCTCACTGAGTTGCTTAGGCTGGCCTCAAATTCTCCTGCCTTAGCCGTCTGAGTTTCTGGGAATAGTTTTGTGCTACCATGCCTGACTTCCAGGATACACACATACACATCTCTCTCTCTTTTAATTAGAGCATTATAGTATAAATAGTAGCTGAGCTTATCCTGACAAAAATCATATATGCATGGAATCTGACCCACTCCTTCAGTCCTGATCCCTCCCACCTCCCTCACTCTCCCACTCTACGCCCTTAATACATTGATCTTCCCTTATCCATCCTTCCCAAGATCTCTTTAAAAATTAATTTAAAAATAGGGCCTGCAGGTATACTCAGTGGTAGAGTCTGTGGGTAACATGTGAGGCTCTGTGTTCAATCTCCAGCACTGCCAGGGGGATAAAAAATTGATATCCCACCTACCTGAAGATTTTGTTTCTAGCAACTGCAGGTCATCAAAATTTAAATTCGATTGTAAGAGTCCATCATAGAATTAAAAGAAATTCAAAGATAATTAAGATGCAGTGGGGCTTCTTGGTAGTTACAACTTTGTACTAGAACATATAGAGAAATGACCTCTGAAGTCGCAAAGCATATTCATTGCAGAATCATACCTTACTCTTTAGGACTTCACCTAGAGCCTGTTAAGCCTACTGTAATGTATATTCTCACTCATTATAAATAGGAGAAAAGATAGGCCTGAGACTGATTGTAAGAGATTGAACGTTCACAGCAAGGACAGTGGCAGCTGGTAGCCCAATAGCAAGGTCCAAGACAGAATTAAAACTAATAAAATTGCATTTTTGCCCTTTACAGTTGAGGGGTTTTGTAATGTCGATACTTGTTCACCAAAAAAAAAAAAAAATCTGGGGCATGTAGGAATGTTGGAGTGCTTGCCTAGCATGCATGAGGCCCTGTGGGTTTAATCCCTAGTACCACAAGGAAAAAAAATCTTTCTAATCATTGGTGCAAAACCAGAACAATCACTCATTCCATGTCTGAAGGTTTTAGTTTTACTGTGGTCTAATGAAGAGAAATTATTTTGGGAGTGATAATCTTGGTTGCTTATATGCATATGTCTGGAAACATGCATTTCCTTTGCATTTCTTTCAGTTTGTAATATCTTAATGTGGAACCTATATTTTTCCTATTTTCCTACTCCTAACAATAGGGTAGAGTTTTTTGGGGTTTTTTAACCCAATGCCTTTATTTTTATGTGGTGCTGAGAATCTAACCCAGGCCCCGCCCCTGCCCATGCTAGGCGAGCACTCTACCGCTGAGCCACAATCCCAGCCCCAAGTAGAGTTTTGTTTGCTGGATTTTCCTTACTTTAAAAAATACACCTGGGCTGGAGTTGTTACTCAGTGGTAGACCGCTCTGTTAGCATGCATGAAACACTGGATTCGATCCTCAGCACCACATAAAAATAAAAAAATAAAGGTATTGTGTCCACCTACAACTAAAAACTAAATATTCTTTAATAATACACTTATATTTTTTGCAGTGCTAGGGATTGAATCCAAGGCCTTGCCCATGTGAGGCAGGCACTCTTGAGAGTGCACAACTAGCCCAGCATTGGTGATTTTAGTTGTGCATCATTGTGCTGGTGTGTCAGCGACTAGACACCCATTTTCTTTTCTTTTCTTTTTTTTCAATATTTTTTTAGTTGTAGATGGACACGATACCTTTATTTATTATTTTTATGTGGTGCTGAGGATAGAACCCAGTGCCTCACACATGGTAGGCAAGCACTCTCCCACTGAGCTACAACCCTGGCCCTGGACACCCATTTTCTTGATGTATGTGTCAAAATGCTATTCTGTAGTTCACTGTTAACTGTCTTTCAGGGTTTTACATATGTGGCTCCATCTGTACTTGAAAGTGTGAAAGAAAAGTTTTCTTTTGAACCAAAAATTCGATCACCACGAAGATTTATTGGCAGCCCAAGAACACCTGTCAGGTATTTCAGACTGTTATTCTCAGGTTTTTTTGTTCGTTTGTTTTTTTCCTTAAACCTAGAAGAGCATTGCTTAAGAAACTTATGTCAAGTAAAATAAATGAAAGTTTGTCATATTTTCTTTGGTTAATGTAATCACAGCATCTATGTCATCTCAAATTGCAAAGGACTAGTCTAACGATAGATCAGTCACACACTAGTTTACGTTTCCCTCCTGAAAGTAAACTGCTATGCTGGCAAATACCCTCTTACTCCATTCACTCAACATTTATTGTGCACCAGGAGCTGGGCTGCATGTTATATGTTTTTATAGTACATATAACATGGGAATTGTCCCTGCCCTGATGGAGCTTACAATTTAGTGAGAGTCACAGTAACAAAGATGGAAATACATACAAAAATATGTAACTATCACTAGTGCCAAGTGCTATTTAAAAAAAAAAAAAGCTGGGTACAATGGTGCATTCCTGTAATCCCAGCAACTTTCAAGGCAGAGGATCACAAGTTTGAAGCCAGCCTCAGCAACCTGGGGAGACTGTCTCAAAGTTTAAAAGGGTGGGGGATGGTGGCTGAGAATGTAGCTCAGTGGTAAAATGCCCCTGGGTTCAATCCTTGTTACCTACCCCTCAAAAAAAAAAAAAAAAAAAGGCAGTAGCAAACAGAGGAGACAACAAGGAGACTTCTACTTATAGGAATAAGAGAATGGCCTCCTGGTGAAGTAACATCTAGGAATAAAGAGCAAGAGCCAGCTATGCAAAAATAGGAGGTACAAAATGTTGCAGGCAAAAGAACAGCAAGTGAACAAGCCCTGAGGGAGAAAAAAAACTTGGCCTTTTCTTGGTGTTCTGGAGTATGGTGAGTGAGGAGGAAAATGGCAGAAATTTGGAAAAGTGTTTTAATTTTAAATGCATTGGGAAGCTGTTTGAAGTAAGGGAGTAAAATTGTTTTAAAAATAAGGTCTGGAGATGTGGCTCAGTGGTAGAGTGCTTGCCTAGCCTGCATGAGACCGTGGGTTCGATCCCAACCACTGCAAAAACAAACAAAAAAACCTGCATATCTGTTTATCACTCAGGGACTTAGAGACCAGTTAGAACACTCCAGGAATTAGTCTAGGGAAAAGATGGTACAACCAAAATTTTTGCCTTCATTTCTAATCCACACAAAAATAAATTTAAATGAAAAAAGTGTTATATGTGCCTCTCCCTTTAAATCTAAGGGAAATACTTCTTGTTGAGATGATCCTTGAGACAAATGAATGATAGCTCTTCCTTGTCTTAAAGCCCCGTCAAATTTTCTCCTGGGGATTTCTGGGCAAGAGGTGCTTCAGCCAGCACAGCAAATCCTCAGACGCCTGTGGAATACCCAATGGAAACAAGTGGAATAGAGCAGATGGATGTGACAATGAGTGGGGAAGCGTCAGCACCACTTCCAATACGACAGCCGAACTCCGGGCCATACAAAAAACAAGCTTTTCCCATGATCTCCAAACGGCCAGAGCACCTGCGAATGAATCTATGACAAAGCAATGCTTTAATTAATTTGAGGCAAAAACAAAAAAAGCAGGGGAAAAGGGATGTGTGAGCATCCTGCAAGATGAAACAAGAAGAATTAAAAATGACAGTCTCAAAGAGTCAGTGTCATTTCCTGGAATGCTTTGGACAAAGGAAAAACAAACATGGATTTTTAAAAATCAATCAATGGTGCAAACAAAAAAACTTGAGCAAAATAGTATTTCAGAACTCTTAGGCACATCAATTAATTGGTTCCTAGCAACATCTCAACCTTATCAAGGATTTTCACGTTGATGGCTGGAAACTGACAGTATTAAGAATAGGATGTTGCTTCTGAATCACTGTCAAATTCTGATTGTGTCGGAGAAGGGTTTTCCTTTCATTAGGCAAAGTATGAAATTGCCTATAATACTTGCAACTAAGGACAAATTAGCATGCAAGCTTGGTCAAACTTTTTCCAACAACATGGAATCAAAGACAGACTTATCAATTGATGTTTTACGTGCAAACAACCTGAATCTTTTTTTTATATAAATATATATTTTTCAAATAGATTTTTGATTCAGCTCATTATGGAAAACATCCCAAACTTTAAAATGCGAAATTATTGGTGGTGTGAAGAAAGCCAGACAGCTTGTTTCTTCTCTTGATGAAATAAAAAAATGCAAATGAATCATTGTTAACCACAGCTGTGGCTCCTTTGAGGGCTTGGGGTGGACCTGGGGTTTATTTTTAGTAACCCAGCTGCAATACCTGTCTGTAATACTAGGAAAACAACAGCAACAATCTATTTAATCATTTCTACTTGCAGTACTGCTATGTGCTAAGCTTAACTGGAAGCCTTGGAATGGGCATAAATTGTATGTCCTACATTTCATCCTTGTACTGGGTCTACATTGCACTGGAAAAAAGTCACCACCTGTTCTTATACCAGTATTTGGTTCAAGACACCAAATGTGTTCAGCCCATGGCTGAGGAAGGATGGAAGAGAGTCAGGATAAAATGCATACTGAGGGCAGCAAAATGGGGAAGATAGGAATATCCAGGGGAAGAGGGTGTTGCCATGGTCCACTCTCTGTCTAATCTCTTTATGGCAAATTGGTAAAATTTTAAGTTTTACTTCGTTTTACTGTTTTTGCTGTCTACCTTCTTTAACATTTTTTTCCTTAACAGTTTTAAAAAGGAAAAAAGGTCTAATTTTTTTCTCCTATACTGGGGCTACCTTTTTTGATTGTAAAAATACTTGATGGCCTTTTGATGAATGTCTTCCACAGTGAATAAGAAAACTTAGTGGCTTAATTTAGGGAACATGTTAACAGGACATTGTTTTTGAATTGTAACAAAATCTACATAAGTGATTTACAGGTACAAAGAATAAATAAAGGTGACTTTACCTTTCTTAAATACTTCCTGCCTTAAAGAGAGCATTTCCATGACTTTAGCTGGTCAAAGGGTTTAATATCTGCAGAGCTTTATAAAAATATATTTCAGCTCATACTGGTATAAGTAGATGATCATGCAGTTGAGTCTTACCACTTCTTTTTTGTTTGTCTTTTATAATGTATTCAGTCTGAGTGTCAAAGTCAATTTGTAATAGTTTGCAACCCTAGAATTTTTTTAAATAGATGCTGCTTGCTATGTTCTCCAAACCTTTTTGAGCCATAGGATCCAAGCCATAAAATTCTTTATGCGTGTTGAATTCAGTCAGAAAAGAGAAAAACTTTGCTTATTTAAATTGCAACTCAAGTGAGATGTGATGACAGTAAGCAAAAGAGAACCATGAAAAATGATTGGAAATATACCTTTCAATTGTGGCAATAAGGAAAGAATTGATAAAAGTTCATCTTTGGACAGAAAACCATTAAAACAAACAAACAAACAAAAAAATCCCTGTACCCCACCCTCTTACTGCAGCAGCCTACTAAGAATTTTATAATTGTAACTGGTAAATTAGAAGCTACACGATGATTAAGGGCAGAAATTGTACTTAAAAAGTGCAGATCTTTGTTCTCTGACAATTGTGATGTCTGGAAAAAACAAATCCAAAAAGCTATGGTGACATGTATAGGTATTATTTCAGACTGTAAATGGCTTGTGCTACCCTGATAACTTGTTTTCAAATGTGTTTACTAACTGTAGTGTTGACTGCCTGACCAAATTCCAGTGAAACTTTTACACCAAAATATTCCTCCTCAGTCCTATCTGCTAGTAACATGTGCACTGTGATTGGCTGGCTATAACACCCTATAGTTAATCTGTTTTCATAATTAGTAGTGCCAGCAATAGGGGCGAACGCTGCAACTTTTTTGCATAAAAAGCATTAATTGCACACTTACCATCCACACAGATATTTAGTTTTTCTAACTTAACATTTATTAAGTGAAATTAATTTCCCATGCTGTGTCAAGTTTATTGAGAAATTGTGTTGCATAAAGTGGATACCCCTACTATGACTGTGAAAACATGTCAAGTGTCACATTAGTGCCACAGACAGAAAGCACACACCTATGCAATATGGCGTACCCTATATTTATTTGTAAAAATTTAAGCATAGTTTAAAATATATGATGTCAATATTACTAGTCTTGAGTTTCTAAGATAGTTCTTTATGGTTATTCCAGGTAAGTGTATAAAAATGATTAAGTGCTTTTCTTTCATCACTTGATTATTTTCTTTACAATCAGCTATTATGGGATTTTTTTTTATTTTATACATGCAGTTTTTTAATTAAAATGTAATCACTGAACTGAAGTTTACTAATTTGATTTTATAAGGTTTGTAGCATTACAGAATAACTAAACTGGGATTTGTAAACCAGCTGTGATTAACAATGTAAAGTATTAATTATTGAACTTGAACCAGATTTTTAGGAAAATTATGTTATTTATTTCTTTTTCCCCTTTATGGTCTTAAATAATTTGAATCTTTCAAGGATTTTTCCATACTGTTTTCAAGATAGAAGATAATTTGACAGGTGGGGGAGAAGGATGCATGTTTGAGACTCCATAAATTCAACATTCTTTTCAATAGGTAATAAATGATTATAAACAAGATGCATCTTAGATAGTATTAATATCCTAAGCCTTGGATTTCATATTTAATATAGGACCTTACTTTTCTGAATATTCAGCTAGTCATATGGTTCCTAGTTTACAAGGGCTTGATCTAAGATTATCCCCATGAAAAATGTTGAATTTATGAAGAATGGACTTTGAAACTTTGAAAATGGTTAACTTCTCAAATAAAAATATCAATATCCAAACATCTGCCTTTTTTCATAGGCGTAGACACTAGCAAGCTGGACAAAACTATCATAAAAGTATTTGTCACACATGACCTGTGGTCTGTTGCTGATTAATACAGTACTTTTCTTGTGTGATTCTTAACACTACAGCACAAGTATTATCTCAGTTGATATCTGAAGTAACATCTAAAAGATGGGTTCATCTCTGTGTTTGCTCTTTAAACTATTATGTTTCTATTATCCCAAGTTGGCTTTGCATCTATTAAATAATAAACTCTTCAGCTGCCTTATTAGGAGTGCTATGAGGGTAACACCTTTTCTGCTTTTCATCTTGTATTTAGTTTACTGTATTAAGATATTTGGTTTCAGATTGAATGAATGTAAATAGAAATTAAATGCAAATTTGAATGAACATAAAATAGAAGTGACTTTTTTTATTACCTAAACAGAGGAAGAAACAACTGTGTACATATCAGTTATATAGTTTTTTTCTCATTAACAAGTCAGATGTATTCATGTTCTCATATTTAATAAACTATTAATGTACGTAAGGAATAACAGTTGTAAAACTGTTTCTGCTGAGAATAGAAGCTATTTAAATATATAACAAGCTTTAGTATTGATTTTATATATTGGATGTTACACATCTTTTATTTTCAAATTGTATCAAGTAGAAGAACTTGAATTGTTTGTTTTTTAAAAAAAATTCATGCAACAAGTTATGAGTTTTTTCCCTCCAAACAAAATATCTTCTTTGTTTAGCCATATTTATCTTTTGGAGACCGAATCTGTGTTGCCCCCAGCTGGTCTCCAGCTTGCAGTCCTCCTGCCTTAGCTACCTCAGTAGCTGGGATTACTGGCATGTGCCACTGCACCCAGCTTCTTGGCAACATTTGATTGTTCTTTTGCAGTGCTGGAATCAAGCCCAGGGCCTGTTGCATGCTAGGCAAGCACTCCATTACTGAGCCACATCCTCAGTCCAACTGGGCTACATTTGATAGTTTGATGTGCACAAATCTGTTTTTCTTTGCTAGAGATTGAACCCAGGGCCTTAGATATGCTAGGCAAGCACTCTCCCATTGAACTACATACATCTCCAGCCCCACAAACTGTTTTAATTGTCTCACATCTACTCTAAAATGGCCATTTTGTACAAACCACATCTCTTCTATGAACATTTATATCACACTTGCCTAGGTAATACCTCTACAGAAAGTTTTCACTCATGTTCATTTTTTATAAAAGATGGTAGCATCTCTTAATGCTGGTACTCTTTAACTTTTGGAGATTGTGATCTGAATTCACAGAATAATTGGGTTTTTGGAGCTGTGTTCCCTTTGAGGTAAAGGACTAAAAAGTAGTAGCAAAATGCTTCTAGTTCATCATCTGTCTTAATAGATGGCGTAGCTCTCTTATTACATCTTCCCAGTTTTCAGTTCATTGTAGTAGAACCCCACCACTGTCCAAACTTCTGTTGTTATTTAGTCAATACAAACTGTTTGAATAACCACTAGGCGAGTAGGTATGGTTAAATGGTATTGTAAACAGGGCTAAATGCTATTCTTGTGTTCTGAACTAGAAGTCGTTTCAGCTGTTTTTCACAGCCAAATTTTAATCCTAAATTCCTTTTCTCACCCATTCCCTGCCATATACCTAAACAATACAACTGAGCTTTGCCACAAAGCCAGGAAGGTGATTTAAGGCCAAATAAACTTGCTCAAATATTTGTGGTAATTCTCAAAGTAAAAAAGAGAATTAAATATATTGTGGGGGCTGGGGATGTGGCTCAAGCGGTAGCACGCTTGCCTGGCATGCGTGCAGCATGGGTTCGATCCTCAGCACCAAATACAGACAAAGATGTTGTGTCCGCCAAATACTAAAAAATAAATATTAAAATTTAAAAAAAAATATATTGTGACTAAATAGACAGAAAATAGTTACTCTTATAACCTGGCAGTGTTTACCTAGGGTAAAAGGTTACCTTTGTCAGTTTGAGTAGTTCTCCAGGCATTATCACTTGGCTACTATCTTTATTAATGCATGTTCTGGTCTAGGCTTTGTCTTACCAATACTACAATATGTTTTCAGCTTTCTTCTAACTTTTGCTTCCCACCATCCTTTCTTTGTGTACAAATGGATAGTAATAAAGAAATAGGCAGAAGCCTTGTATTGTAATTGTAGATGTAACCAGTAGCAGCCCTTTATTGTTCTGTTAATGTTTAGGTATCAAGTGGAGAGACAAAGTGCCTTATTTTCTTTTCCATGACCCTGAACAAATTACCTAGAGGCAGGCAAACCACACTATCCAAAGCTATGACCACCCCTGAGTACAAGCTTTTGTTCTCCTGCTTGATGCTGGGGATTGAATCCAGAACCTCTCACATGCCAGGCAAGTGCTGTACTACTGAGTTTCACCTCGAGCAGTGCATGAATTATTTTAATAGTTACTTTGAGATACTTAATAGCACTATACAAAAAGCAAGATTGTGAACATTAAAGGAAGCATGTATGAGGTCCACAAATAATGAATTTAAATAATTTATTCTTGCTGATTACTTATACTATAGAGAATAATACAATATTAAAATATATCATCCTCAGTAAATTAATCTTCATCTAGAAAACGTAATTTTTACAGGTAAAATATAGCATTTAGAAATTTAATTGAAAAATACAAATTTCGTGAAAAATTTTAAGCATTTTTAGAATGGGAATTATAAAAGTCAATGCTGAAGAAAATTGTTTCAAATAATATGTATCTTAAAATACTGTGAAAAATATACTGTAATGTCAGGAAAGAATACCTGAATTATTATTATTACTATTTTCTTCTTTTTCTTTCTGGGGTAGGGAACGAATCCAGGGCCTTATATGTGCTAGACCAGCACTCTACCACTGGGGCAATATCCCCAACCCACCTGCATTCCTTTGAAACTACTAGTTACGGTTTATAATTTCTGTTTTGGTAACATCAGCAAGAGAACACATTTACAATTTAACACTGCAATTATCTGTCAGATAATTAGGATAGAACAAATGTTGTGTATTCTTTAGGTTGAATATTATATACTTTTTAAAACACAGGGGTTTTTCATTTGATCTTGATAAACCAGACTACACATGTAAATTATATTCTAAAACCACTTGGAAACAGTTTTCTTCCAGCCCTGAAAATCTGTTCAAATGCCTTTATCAATAGTCACTTATTACCAAATGAAATTAGTGTTTGTGGCCTTAACAGTTGTACAACTTAATATATTTGAAGGTGTGATGAAGTGGCTCCATCATTCCATTTGTTTATACGATCTGAAATCACAGTTCTGCATAATGGACATGTTTTCTCTCTGTTGAACCATAAGGTAATGCATTCTTCACAAAATATATGCTGTAAAGGGAATTAAGAACTAGATTTTATATTAGCAAACACTTTACATTCATCGTATTGTAGATAATCCTATTCTTAGAGCTGAAAGGGATTTTGGAAACACTAATTCCCACATTTTACAAATGAGAAAATGGAGAAAGTAGTATGTATTCAAGAAGACAGAGTAGTTTTAATGGTAGAGCCACTAGTATTCTTCTGACTTTACTATCCATTTAGCCTTTTTGTAACAAAATGTGGCTATCCCTAGGTGATATCTTTAAGATTTTTCATTATGGTGACTTAAGAGCTTAATAAATCTCTGAGTTAGTAGTAACTTCTGTAAAGTCTAAGAAAAAGCCATATATTCTTCCATAACATTGTTGGTACTATTTTGAATACTAGTATCTAATTATAAAAAATGGACTGTTTTCTAATCATTTTGGCATCCAATCTGCCAGTTGAATTATCTTTCCCCTTTTATATATTCCTGCATAAAAATCATCAGAACATAAAGGATAAGATTTAGCCAATCTACTAAACTCCTAATCATAAATAAATTACGAGTGTGTACTCTGCTACTTTCCACTAAACAGTGTAGATTATTTTTTGCCATTCAACAAACATAAATATTACTTGTAATTCACAGAAAAGTACTGTGTTCAATTTGCTTAAAAATATAATTACCTGACAGATGAGAAGAATTGGTTTCTGAAATTCAGCTTGACATATTGAACAAATATCATCCACATCTGAACACTGTCTCTTGCTGGCAGCTACACCATAACTCTGTGAAGGTAAATTATTTGCAATTACAAATTTCTTTTCCTGTTTGTTGAACACATAGGTGATACTGTACTTCTCAAATCTCCCAGGAATCAGGCATTTCAAAACTTTCCCATAGGATACATTTTATAGCTACATCTTTACTACATGAGTGTGAAATCATTAAATAGTAAATAACAGGATCATGGAAGATTGTTAAATCCACTGGATTCCCAAACGGTAATAGTTTTCAAATTCAACACAAATGGCTATAAGTACCTAAACAATTCGAAATATAACTAAATATTTATAAAAATATTTACAAATACTTCCTGGGTATAGTGTTGCCCAGGATTGCCAAATTAAGCAGTCAATCTAGCACTTTGCTAGTTAAATGTAATTCATGTGGAGAGCTTACTTTAAAAGTATATGTATCTGGGGGCTGGGGTTGTGGCTCAGTGGTAGAAGGCTCACCTAACACGTTGAGGTGCTAGGTTCAATCCTCAGAACCACATAGAAATAAAAAAATAAAGTTATTTTTTTAAAAAAGTATATGTATCTGGGCCAGGCGTGGTGGCACATGCTATAATCCCAGCAGCTCAGGAGGCTGAGACAGGATGATCGGGACTTCAAAGCCAGCCTCAACAACAGTGAGGCACTAATTAAGCAACTTAGCAAGACCCTGTCTCTAGCGGGGCCAGGGTTATGACTCAGTGATAGGGCACTTGCCTAGCATGCATGAGGCACTGGTTTCAATCCTTAGCACCACATAAAAATAAATTTAAAAAAGACCCTGTGTCTAAATATAAAAGAGGGCTGGGGATGTGGTTCAGTGGTTAACTTCCCCTGGATTCAATCCCTGGTACAAAAAAAAAATTGTGTGTGTGTATGTATCTGGGGTTAGAGATGTAGTTCAGTGATAGAGCACTGGCCTAGCATGCACAAGGTCCTTAGTTTTAAACTAATTTTTAGTACCACACACATACAGAGAATATTTGGCTGGGGGTGTGGTATGAGGCCCAGCATGTAGGGGGGAAAAAGAAAAAAAAATCTCTGGTTCTACACTGGAGTTTCAGTAGGCCCAGACACTGGAATATGACTCAGGAATCTTTTTTTGAAAGGTCTTCAAGGTAAGTTCAACATGAAGGAGGTTTCAGTTTCTCACCACTAAACTAAAAATAATTTTTAATTAACCTCTTATTATCATAAAGTCAGAGCATTTAGTACTTTGAAAGAATGATAAACCAAATTTTCAGAGAAAATAACTGTAAAATGTCACTGGGATGGGATAACTGTCAAAACTAACTGAATGAACAATAGTGCAATTCTCTGAATATCCCTTTATTCTAATGTCCTAAAAAAAATTAGGAGATTCTGATCTGATCTCTTTAATATCTTAACTTCCTCACCAAATTCAGCAGGACTTAGTCATGAACTAGATGTGACAATTAAGACTCTTTAGCAAAATTTGAAAGAATCAAAATGTTACAAATGAGACGAGCTTTCTGTAGAAATGATGGTGGCAAGGGTGGCTAAGAACACCTAAGTGTAGTAGTCATGGGAAGTTAGGTAAGGAGTGACTTACTTAAACACATTTGATTATGATCTAAACTTCCTGTACTTAAATGTTTAGGGCTAACAAAACTCAAAGGTCAAAAAAAATTAATTTATCCTTCAGTTTTAGGTGGAGTCCACCTATATGGCGCTAAGGATCAAACCCAGTGCCCCTTGTATGCAAGGCCAGCACTCTTCCATACCACTGAGCCACAATCCCAGCCCTGACAAAAATGTTAAAAATTAAGGTGTTTTTGTGTGTGTGTGTGTGTGTTTTTTTTTTTTTTTTTTTTTGAGACTGGTGATACTAAGGATTTCAGAAGTCAGTCAGGACAGTGTTAAATGATCTTGGTGCCAATTTCCCTTCAGTAAAGGAGTCCATTACAAATATTTATGTTGACAAGCTTTTAAAACATCACTTTTGTCTGGCATTTTGGAGACTTCCTTTAGATGAAGACATCCTGATGGCAACTGTCATTTCCATGATAAAGTTAAAGAACATGTATGTACATGTTCAGAATATCAGGGAGACAGGAGTAAAAGTGTCAATGACTGATTCTCTGTGCTTTCTTTGTCTCACAGAGAAGAATCTCAAGTGTTGATTGGGTTTTGTGATGCTGGATCTGGATCACAGGGCCTCACACATGGTAGGCAAACCTTTTACCACTAAGCTACACTCCTAACCCACAGGAGATTTTCTTAAGGGTATTTCAGCACAAACCTGACTAGATCAATTATGGGAAAATGGCTGATTCTCATATAATCAATTGTATTAACCTGGACAAAACCAGACTCTCTGGATATACTGTATCTTCTCCAAAAGAAAAGTGTGCATAAGATGTAGCAAAACTTGTTTCCATATTTCTCTTAGAGAAAAGGTACCCTGGCTAGTTAGTCTGAACAGTTTTTTAGACAATCCTTTTTTGTTTGGATACTATGGATTGAACTCAGGGGCACTATACCACTAAGCCCCATTCCCCAGCCCTTTTTATTTTTTATTTTGAGACAAGGTCTCATTAAGTTGCTGGGACTGGCTTCAAATTTGCCATCTTCCTGTCTTAGCATCCTGAGTTGCTGGGATTACATGCAAGCACCATTATGTATGGCTCCTTTTTACTTTTAACAATACATTAATAGATTGGCATTTTTGTAAGTCAGTCCCATTAACTGTTTAAGGACCTAATGGACTAAAAAGCTGAAGATCAGCCTTGAAATTTGGTGACCACACCTAGGTATTGGGAATCTTTGAGGCTACTAAATATGAATTACCCTTCTGTATGATACCCTTTCTCTGTATTCTGTAACATCCACAGAATCACATAATAACAAGTTTATAATTGATAGTGAAGTCTCAATCATTAAATTCCATGCTGAAAATTATTTGTATATTTAGAACTGTGTAATGGGGACATTTCCCCCAGTGATAAAATTGCAAGGGACATGATTTTTGGTAATGAGCTGAACATAGAACTAAAACTTCTAATGCCAGAGTACTAGCAAATAATCTAAAAAGACCATTTTATAATGAAAGGTAGAAGTGTTTTTCCTTAAAAAACAAGAAAGTACTTACTGGTCGTGTAAAAAATATTCGCAAAACCTGTCTGAAAGTTTTCAGATGTCCAAAGAAGTCCAAAAGCTGAAAGAGAAAATAAGAGATAATTTATTAATTCAAGAGTCCTATCTGCTAAACCCAAAGACAAAAGCTGAAATATTACAATATTCAATTCCCATATTACCCTAATGCTCACTGCATTCAGAGATAATCATTTCATTCTAAATATATTTCAAGCCTAATTAATGAATATTTATGGGGTTGAGCCAACAAGAAGTACATTTAAAAATCTAGAGTTATAGTTTGTTCAAGATAGATAAAAACCTGTCAAAGACAAAGCAACTACATCTGATTCATATATTAACATTCTGATTTTTAAAGTCTCAAAGTGATTATTAATTTGAAATGATCAGGCAGAAAGGGAGCAGAACAAGACACTCTACTAGTTTTAAGAGTTATGTGTACAACAAACTTTGCTGTTGAGGATGGGTATTTTTTTTTCCACTTGTTTATCCCCTTAGATAACCCATGTTATATGGAACTCCACTTTCTCTCTCTCTTTCTGAGACAGGGTCTTATATGTTACCCAAGTTGGCTTCAAACTCAGAATCCTGTCTCAGCCTCCCAAGTAGCTGAGATTATAGTTACATGCCACCACAAACTGATAAAGAACCTGCGGTTACTTCAAACTACTGATATGAAGATAAGCCTTAAGACAGTTAAGGAGAAAAGTAGTAGTATGTAAAATCAATAATTACATGAATCATTATACAATGGCAAGATTTATAATGTTACTTACTTTTAATATGAGGTAGAGTAAAGCCAGCAATATCCCAAGACTCCATCTAGTACCATTACCAAACTCCCCATAACTTATAAGGTAACGAAACCAAACTGGTATGGGAACAAAAGTTCGGTAATACTGACACAATTCTTCTAAAAGCATATACCAGTAACCCTAAAAAGAAAGGAAAAAGAAAATAAATAGAACTACCCAAGCCACTTAAACACATAGCAAAAATCCTTAATATTGGACTGAAAACATCATGAGTACATGATGCAATAATATAAGTAACTGTGAAATTAGTCTTCATTATGATTATGACTGACAATTTCAACTTGATTTTTCCATGTTACAGTCACTGCATAGTGTGCTTTTAAAGTATTCCTCAGAATGAAATAGTAAAATGTTTTATATGTACTGTGTTTTTGCCGATTATAAAAATTTGTTTTTATTGAATATGGGAAGCCACTAAATAACTGCATATAGTCAATTATTAATTGATAGTACCCTGTTGGAGAACAGAAGTACAAATTAATAGTTTCTCCTATTTGATGTGGAGACTGATTTTTCAGTTCTGAAGCAAATGTTTGTTGTTCTTTTTAGTTATACATGACAGTACAGTTTAATTTGACTTATTTATACAAACATGGAGTACATTTTATTCTAACTAGGACCCCAGTCTCATGGTTGTACATGATGTAGAGATTCACTGGTGTATTCATGTATGTACATAGGAAAGTTATGTCAGAGTCATTCTACTCTTTTCCTATTCCTGTCCCCCCTCCATTCCCTTAATTCCCCCTTGACTAATCTACTGAACTTGTATTCTTCCCCTCCTTGAAACAAATGTAATTCTCATTTTATCCAAATAGGTTAATATTTTGGTTCAAGTCCTTGAACAAATGTTGCCAAGCGATAATGAAGATAATTAAAACTAGATTATTTAGCAAATGAAAAAATCACAAAATCTTTAAGCAAAGATTAAACAGTATTAATGTGTTTGCCAACATCATTCCAATAATGCATCAGTTAGTTTCTTACCTTTGACTTAAAAGGCATGATGAAAGGAGGCACCAATAAAACAAGGCATTTTACGCCCATGAAGAGGAATTTTAGAATGAAGTCCGTAATTCCAACAATCCAAAGTACTTCCCAGAAGCTCAAGTGATCCAGTGTAGGATTTAAGAAAATTAAACTACCAAGAGAAAATCATCAAAATTTACCAGAGCAACGTACAAAGGTAAAATATTGAAAAGGGTGTTAAATTTGCTACAAATATTTTAATTTGATATGTAGAAATGAGTTTGGCAAGATAACATCAGAGTTCATATAAATGGAATGAAGGATATTTTTTTATTATTATTTTAAAGGGACTTTTCCTTTTATATGATATAGAAAAAGGTCTTCCTGGTTTATTATGTTGACACTTTTGTAGCCTATAAACTCTAAAACCTGTATACTAGACTTCTGCCATTATCTTCCTAACGATTTCCAATCAGGATTCCATCCCCTCTTTTCCACTGAATTACTTTTGTCCTTTATATCACTAGACCTAAAGGTCACTTCTCTTTCCATTTACTCATCCTAAATTATTTTCTTTGTAGACCTTTTTTCCTCTGTGGTGTTGGGGATTGAACCCAGGACCTCATTCATGATAGGCACTGAGCTGCACCTGTAGCTTGTTCTTTCTAAACTTCTTTTTTCTCTCCTGGTTGTTCTCATATGTCTCCTTTGTGGCTGCTACTCTGATGATGGGTCTTGTCCAGGACTGGGCCCTCTTTGTATTTTCTTTGTATTACCACATAGTTATTTGTATTACCCAGGTTAGTTCTGTTCAGTCCTGTGGTTTTAAAATATCAGTCATATTTAAATGCTGATTACTTTGCTAACATACCAAAATTTATAGCTCTAACCTCTACCCTGAGCTCATGATATATCTAGAACTGCTTTCTTAACAATTCTACTTGACTTCTCATGCTTAACATGTTAAAAACAAAATTACTGATTTTCTTCTCAAATCTAGTTCCTTCCCCAGCCCGATAAAATGACACCATCATCAAAGTCTTTCTTGCGTTCCCTACCTATTCACCCACACAGCCCTATCCATATCAATGTACTGGCTCTACTTCTAAACTATATCCCACATTTGTCCATAATTATTTTCTGACTAAAGCTAAAAATTCAGAAAAACTTGTTACCTATTGTCTTTTAATGAATCTTTGCCTTATTTCTAGAAACTGAAAAAGACAACAATACCCACCTACTTAATAAGTACTGATTAAACAAAAATGCAGTTATCAAAAAAATTAAATATATATTGAGCACCTGCTATGTGCCAAGGAACTAAGGATACAAGTCTGAATAAGTCACTCAAAGCTCTCTAAAGAAGACAGGTAAAAATTGAACTACAATAAGTATTATGTGTAAGTAAGATATATGCAGAGTGCTGCGGAACATATGATTACATTTTAAAAAGTATACTAGAACTAGTAATTACCTGTAATAAAGTGACTGAGAATGAAAGGTATAATACAGAAGAACAGATGATCCTGCTAAGAATATCAATAACCAAGCACATTGAATCTTTGAAGATCTTTCCTGAAAAATAAACAATTTTATAATTTGTTACTTTGAATTATGCCAGAATTTCAAATATTATTAAACTTTAAATTTAATGGCTTATTAACATTAACTTTCTAGATTAACCTTAAAATATAAAGTATCTGTTAAATTGTATACCACATTGTTTTATTTATCTTTAGTGAACAAAATTTGAAACAAGTTATAAAAATACAATTTCTTCACTGTATGAAAAATAAGATGTTTCAAAGAAACCAAATCATCTAAAAGTTGACATAAAGGACCTACCCAAAACAATCTTTAGCTGTTCAGTTCCCTTTTTTGTGCATCTTCCACAAGACAAATTTCAAAAATGCATTTAAGTAAATCAGGGTTCACAGATATTCAATAATTTATTTTTAATCTAAGGTTAAGTTTTAATTACAAGTTTAATTAAATGTTTTATAGGTTAAGCATCCTAATCTGAAAGTTAGCAATTGAAATGCTCTAAAATCCAAAACTTTTTGTGCACCAACGTGAAGCCCCAAGTGGACAATTCTTAAACCTGATCTCCTGTTAAAATTAAAACACAGATACACTAAAATTACTGTATAAAATTACAATTGGGCTATGAGTTGTATATAAAACAGAAATGAATTCTCTTTAGACTTGAGTTCCCATTCCAAAGATATCTCATTATGTATGTACAAATATTCCCAAATCCCCCCAAATCTGAAACAGTTTTGGTTTCAAGCATTTTGGAATAAAGAATACTCAATCTGTACTAGTTTGAAACCATGAATTAAAGTTTTTTTAGTTTACAGGTTCTACTATAAATTTCCAGGTCAGAATGTATGATATCTTCCTTTAATATGGCCTTATGGTGAAATTTCATGAACTTTTTCCTATTTTTCCCATGATTTTTATGACTAGGACTTTTACATTATAGAAAAACTTCTTGAATTAAATTTCCTTTAAATAAGAGAGCTAAACAGTTCAATACCTATTTATTCAATGCTCCATAATTTATTTAGTTATTTTAAATCTTATTATAGTCAGTCCATCAGTTGAAATTTTAATGAGATTATGTTTAAATTAGCTCACAAAATAAAAAGGTACTTGCCAAACCAGATCAAATAGATCAAATAGTGTAGTCCTTTGTCTACTCCCCTACATCCTCAGCACTTTTTTATTTTGAGATAGGGTCTTGCTAAATTGCTGAGGCTGGCCTCAGACTTGTGAACCTCTTGCCTCAGCCCCCGCAAGTTGCTGGGATTTCAGGCATGCATGGTTGTGCCTGGCTTTTTCTTTATTAGAAACCAAATATATAAAGAGAATAAGGTGAAGCAATCAGTATTAGGACAGATAATTTAGATAACAAAATAAAACATGTCATGGATCACCATATTTGATTTCCTACTTCTCTCAAAAGCTATTCCTATTTCTCACAAAATTATTTCTCTATAATTCTATAGAGAGAAAACAGTTAATAATTTTTTAGTTGCTTGTTATACTTACTCTTAGAAAAACCTGATTTACAATGCTTTTGTTTGCATACATAAAAGTTGTTAGCAGCCCAATTCCAAGAGAAATGCCTGTTAGAAAATAAGTTCCAGTTAATTGAAAGAAAAAAAAAACAAAGAGGACAATATAAGCTAATAATATGAATTAAAAGAAAACACACAATTTTAAAAGCCAACAGAAAAATAAGTAACTGAAATACATAGGTAAAAATAGAATTCCAATAAAGAAAAATAACTGAATTTACCAATTAAGCAAATCATTGTTTTATTATCCCCTACCTGTTATATGCTGCATAACAAGTTTGACACCCAGAATCAAAATATATGGAAGACTTTTCTGCAACCACTTGAAAAGATAGCGGAATTCTGAGAAGGTGCTACTTCCGTGTTCTCCAGACTCCGTGGCAGTATCCTCAGGCTGCCTTGCTTCACTGTGGGAGTGACTCCGGAAACGACTATGTGCACATCCATGGGTACAGCTATGGACAGCTGACCTTATATTTCTGGAGCTTGGATTTTCAACATATTCTTTAGATATGGGGTTAATCTGGATATGAACCTCTCCAGAATCAAGAAAAGAACCTTCTCCTGTCAATCTTGTATGGGTACACTGGGAGGCTGAGGCATCCTCACCACTTGCAGTTCCTGGAGGACTGTGCAGTTGGTTACAGTTGGCTTGCATGGCCCTTAAAATACTTTTTCTCTAATCCAGATTTCTTTGCTTGGAGGTTTTGTCTCCTAAAAATAAACAAACAAATTATCCAAGAGCAGAAAATATTCCAAGGGAATAGTTAAATACAAGTAAGTACACTGCTCATCAATTGTTCTTTATTCACTTTATAAAAGGAGTTGCTGATAGTCACAGCATATGAATTTTCAGATTATCGCACTTATTTCTAAACTCCTCCCTTAATGCCAAGAATCTGCTTAAAAATTATCATTTCAGGAAACATTTACTAACAAAAAAAAAGACGAGTTTCAGATGACTCCACTTCTGTAATGCCAGAACACACTGGCAAAATAGTCATGATGTATGGGGGGCCCAGAAGATGTTAATATAATACTAGTGTTCATATTTAATAGTTTGGCACATTCACTCAGCACCCAACTGGAGCAGTTTCATCTGAGTAGATTCTACATCAAAGAAGTTTCAGAATGAAGAGTGATTCAGTATTTTTTTCTAATATTTTAAAATTCTTATTTGTAGATGGACACGATAGTTTATTTATGTGGTGCTGAGGATCAAACCCAGCGCTCCATGCATGTGAGGCAAGTGCTCTACCACTGAGCCACAACCCCAGCTCTGATTCAGTATTTTTTAATACTTGGAAATGCTAGGAAGAAAGAAAAAACTCTATTAAACTTCAATGCTTTAAATATCATTATAGATAATAAACATTTCACTTAGATGAACTATAAATTTTATCTTATGCTCAAAGAGCTTCCCCAAAGCGAATATATTAATGGTGCTACCAAGAATACGACTTTCCCTCCTAAAAGAATGTTTCCTAAATATCTTCAAATTAGGGATAAGTTGGGTGATAATGCTAAGTGATACTTCTGTCTGAATGAAGATAGTCACAGTGTATGGAATAAAAATGCCACCATCGGTGGTGTGTGTGTTGCGGGAGATGGGGTGAGGTTATCAGAAATGAGGACGTTGGCAGGGAGGTTCCTAAATGACCCAGCGTGGATCTCCTAGCAGCTCGATGCCGAAATCGCAATGCCAGCTGACAAAACGCAAAGCCTATCCCAGACTGTCTGCTTTTCCCGTTTCTCTAGGAGGAAGCTAGAGTTAACGACAGGGCATGTTCTGTGTCATTCTGTCTTATGCCTTGGCTTGAACGCTGTGCAGTTACCCTGTGGCGGTTTGGGTTTTGATGCTTTTCGCGGAAGGCTTCGCACCCAGGCTCCGATGCCACGGTGCGCTTTATTTCCTCAAATCTCAAGAGCGACTTTGGACAGGATGGTTTATGTGTTTTCTATAAATAAAAACAGGCCCCTCCCACTCTCCTCCACGCACAGATAAAAAAGAGGAGAGAAAAGGAATCAAAGTGAACATCAACAACTCTTCCGGAATCCCCGAGCACAGGTCTCCACCCACGTCCAAGCCTCCGGCGCCCCGGTTATTCTCCCTGGACCCCCTTGCCCCCGCCTCCCCCAGGCCTGACCTCTCATGACCAGGAGCGGACGGAGGCCTCGGCAGCGACGGCAGGAACAGCAGCGCACGCCGCCCCCAGCCCTAGAGTCAGAGCCATCACGCTCAAGCCCCACGGCCAGCAACTCGGGCCCGGCTCGGCGGCGGCGCGCGCGCTCCCCGGACGTCCTCGGGCGCGCGGCCCGCCCCCGCCTGCGCTGCGCCGCGCCGAGGATAGGCGAGCGGCTGAAGCACGCCGCTGCCAGGGCCTGCGCCTGGGGACCGCCCGCGGACGCGTGCCCTTAACAGTTCGTTGCCTCACGTCTTGAGTCTATGCCGCCAGTCTAGCACGGCACACGGCTCCGAGGTGCTGGACGTTTTGAGGTTAAAAGCGCGCAGGCTCCGGAACCTGCCTCCGGAGGCGGGGCCTGACGCTGAGGGCTGTCCCAGCCTACCCCCGCGCCCTTCCCGAGGCGTCTCGCCTGCCGCAACCCCAGCGGGGTAGCCACGTTGGCGGGGCTCGGCGCGTCTCCGGAAGAGCGGCGCTGGGCGGGGCAGGAGCGCTGGGGTTTCCGGGTTCGGGTTTCGCGACCGACGCTCCTGACCCACTTGTGGCTGGCGGCGAAGTTTAACCAAACTGGGTTTTCTCTCAGGCCCAAGTTGCGGCGAGCGAGATCTGAAGTGCTGGAGGGTTTGCGGGGGACCGAAGAGACTGAGAAAGCCGCCTTCCGCGGAGTGTGGAGAGCGTTTCTGCCCTCCTGTAATTCTCTTAATCCACTATTGTTCTAAGTGGAAAGGTTACTAAGGGCGCGGGGGCGGGCGGTTAACCGGAAGAAAAACGGAGATGTAGTTTAAGTGGTTCTGAATGTATTCCTCGCGTGTCCTCCACAGCCGCCAATATAGCCTTTCCGTTCCAAACTGCAGCTCTCTACATTTTGTTTATACCTGGTACTTCTATTTGCTATTTATTTATTTATTTTTACTTTTGGCCTGGGGATTGCACCCAGGGGCACTTAATCACTGAGCTACTTCCCTAGCCCTTTTAATTTATTTTGAGATAGAATCTCGCTAAATTGCGGAGGCTGGCCTCGAGTTTGGGATCCTTCTGCCTTAGCCTCCTGAGCTGCTTGGATTAAAAGAGTGCACCACCACGCCAAGCATTACCTGGCATTTCTAGAGTTGCTGTCAAATAAATAAAAGCCTTCCATATTTCTTGAAATTAAATATTCCTTGTGAGGTGGACTGAAGAATGGGAGCCAGGTCAGTCTTTCCTCACTAGAGTAGATAAGTTTACATACCCATACATGCTATCATTGAATGTCTAATGAAAATGTTTTGTTTTATTGGTCACTACCTGCTTTAAAACCATTCACTTGCCAAAGTTGCTGGTGTGTGACTTTCAACCATGGAATTGTACCTTATTTTCTCCCAGTACAATTGAATTCTCTGTTTAACCTCAGTTATCTTCTTTGAGGCTGTGCTTAAATCATATGAGTTCTATTACCAGATCATTTGCCTTGAGTAGAAAAGCATGTTTAAAAAAATTCAAAACCAGTCCGCCTCTCACTGTCGATTAAGACATTAACCGCTGCAGCTGCTGCTTTCTTTCTAGTCCCCGCCCCTTTTGTGCTTAAGTCTCCAAGCTTCACTGAGCTTCTTGACAAATTAGATTTTTGGGTCAGTAAACCTGAGGGCCAGGCTCTGAACTGTAGTAAATTTTCTTGGAAAATTTATTTACGTATAGTCTACTATCCCAACTACATGGATATTTTTATTTTTATCATTTATTGCAGTACTGGGGGTCCAATCCAGGGCCTGGTGCATACTAGGCAAGTACTGCACCACTGAGCTACATCCCCAACCCTGAATATTTTTATTTTAAACATGAAAATGTGTGAGGATTTAGTAAACAGGAAAAAAATAAATAAAGCAATCTCTCCCAGTCTAGCCTCAGCCATAATGGAGAACCAGTATACCGTCAGTACATTAGTAGTTTTGAAATATTTGGCACATTAGTAAATTTAGCATATCTAATGTTTGCATTCTCATTTTAACCTAACACACTGAAGGCATGTCAGTGAATATTGAAGGTTTATTAGCGCATTTGGTACTGCATTTCAATAACAACTAAAAGGCAGTATTTGAAGAAGAGCACCAAGTTGAGATATGACTTAGTGGCCCACAGATATTTGATAAATTTTCTTTCCACTGGCATTTGGAATGCTGGAATGGGCATTTGATTTTGATTAATTCAAAAAGCACTTGTGAGCTGGGGTTGTGGCTAAGTGGTAGAATGCTCGCCTAGGACCCATGAGGCACTGGGTTCGATCCTCAGCACCACATAAAAATAAAATAAAGATATTGTGTCCATCTAAAACTAAAAAATAAAACATTACAAAAAAAAAAAAAGCACTTGCTGCATACTTACTGCCAAGAATTGTACTAGGCATGGGAGAAACAGATAAAAAAGATGTCCCTATCCCACAGTAAAACAAGTGGTTAGACATACAAACAAATAATTACATTGTATTAAAGTAAACAGTATAATTGTTGAAGGTTGTGTGAAATGCATTGGAAGTAAAAGGTGGGATCCTATAACTTTGTCAAGCAAGAAACACTTCATTAAATTTATGGCATTGGAGAGAAAGACTGAGGAAAACTTTGAAATTTGCCAGGATGCAAGCAATGATGGGCTTTTTTTTTTTTTTTTTTTTTGCTATTGGGGATTGAACCCAGAGAACCCTTTACTACTGAGCCACATCCCCAACTCTTTTATTTATTTTTTATTCTGAGACATGATCTTACTAAGTAGCTTAGGGCCTAAGTTGCTGAGGCTGGTTTTGAACTTGCCATCCTTTTGCCTCGGCCTCCTGAGTCACTGATGTTACAGGTGTGTGCCTCTGAGTTGGGCATTTTTTTAAAATTCTAGTTTCTTTTTTAAAAAATATCTTTTTTATTTGTTTATTTTTTATATGGTGCTGAGGAGAGAACCCAGGGCCTCATATGTGTTAGGCAAGCTGAGCCACAACCCCAGCCCCATGAGCTGGGCATTCTTGATAGGAAACAACATTAAGTGGAGAGTGATGGTATTGAAATACTGTGGCCCAATGGGCAAAGTAGTAAATGCCTGTAGTCCCAGATGCGCAGGAGACTGAGGCAGGAGGTTCAAAGCCAGTCTCAGCAATTTAGCAAGGCCCTAAGCAACTCAGACCCTCTCATATATAAAATACAAAAAAGGAATAGGGATGTGCTCAGTGGTGAAGTGCCCTTGGGTTCAGTCCCCAGTACCAAAAAGAAAAACAAAATACCATGGCCCTTTAAGGACTAAGTTTTCAACTTTGGAAAGTGGGGGCTAGAAAATAAAAGATTTCAAGAGCTTCATGGAGAAGTTTATTACCTAGCTTATTCTAGTGGCCAAAGGGAAGATATTGTGGAGTTTTATTTATTATCGATCTATTTATTTTTCATACTGGGGATTGAGCTTAGGGGTCCTTAACCACCAAGCCACATTCTCAGTCCTTTTTAGTTTTTATTTTGAGACAGGGTCTTGCTAAATTGCTGAGGCTGTCTTTGAACTTGTGATCCTCCTGCCTCAGCCTCCCAAATCACTGGGTTATAGCCATCTGCAACATAACAATTACTGTGTCCTGCTGAGATACTGAGTTTTAAACACCAGTTATCTGTGACCAGATTTGTTTTCCAGAAAACTCACATGCTAACAGTGTAACAATGCAAGCTGAATTAGGAGACTTTTATAAGTAGTTCAGTTAGATAAGGTCTTGAACTTGTCAGTCAAGTAGAATTCAAAAGGAAGTATGAGATTGGAGAAGTTTAAAGGAGAAAGAATCAATAGGATTAAGTGTGGTGGATTGTTGCAGTTATGCCCCTCACCTCCTCCCACTTCCCACACCAATTTTTCACACCAACCTTGGATTTAATTTTTTAATTTCCTTTTTAGTTGTCAATAGATCCTTATATTTTTTTATTTATTTATATGCAGTGCTGAGAATTGAACCTAGGGCCTCACACTTGCTAGGCAAGTGCTCTACCACTGAGCCACAACCCTTGAATAGTCTCTTTTTAGAATAATTTACATGACTTCCTTTTACCACAGTAATAGTAATTGTTATGTTAGTAGAGGCTTGAAAAATTCTTGCACATTGAGACTTAACACTTATTGCTGGCAACCATGCGAGCAACTCAAGGCTAGCCTCCTAGAAGATAAGGGATCATTTGTAGTGAGGCCCTGTCTCAGCTCTCTTGGTCTTCCCAGTTGAGGACCCCAAAACATGTATGAGGCCATCCTAGACAATCCAGCTCCAACTAAGATGGTTCAGACAAGAAGGGTCAATGAGGCAACACAAAGACAAAACATACAATACATTTTGGCAGGGCATAGTGGCACACGCCTGTAATCCCTATGGCTCAGGAAGCTGAGAAAGGAGAATCCCAAGTTCAAAGCCAGCCTCAGCAAAAAAGTGAGGCACTAAGCAACTCAGTGAGACCCTGTCTCCAAATAAAATACAAAGTAGGTCTGGAGTGGCTTTGTGGTTGAGTGCCCCTGAGTTCAATACCTGGTACTCACCTCCATTTTTTTTTTTAAGCCTCTAGACTTGGGGCAGCTTGTTTCATAATATATTAACTGATACTCTAAGTGACCAATTAGAGGGTGAGAAAGAAGGGAGTCTGTGATGAATATTTTTATAGCTTAGGTGGATAGATAAATCAATATTGGAAATCTATAAAAATTAGAGTAAGTAAATTGGATATATTACCAAATTGAGGAGGGAATTGTTTTTTAAAGGCCAAATTTGGAGAGAGAATAATAAATCAGCTTCAGAAATCTGAGCCTTAGGAGTTCCTCGGACAAATAGGTAAAGATATCCAGTTGGAAGTTTGATGTAAGGATCTAGAGGTAGAAAATTCAGAGTAAAAACTGGTTTTTAAGTAACAGTAACCATTTCATGTTTATTTGTTTTCAGAGTTGTTTTTTTTTTTGGAGATTGTCATCGACTTTGTTGTCTAGGAACAGTCTTCTCCTTTCTTTCTGATCTATATGCCTTTTGCTTCTTGCTTTATTATATTAACTAGAATTGCCAGTACTCTGCTGAGTAAGATTGGTAGAGTAGACATCCTTGCCATGTTCCCAATTTTAAGGGAAAAACATTCAGTCTTTCACCATTAAGTATGTTAACTGGAAATTGTTTTTATAGGTGTCCTATGTCAGATTAAATAAACTCCCTTCTATTCCTACATTGCTAATGCTACTGTTTGGATAATTGTACCCAGAAGTCCATGTATTAAAGCTTAGTCCCTAGCCTGTGGCTCTGTAGGGAGGGGATAGAACCTTTAAGAAGTTGGGCCTAAAGCTAGGTTTGCAGCTCATTGGTAAAGCATTTGCCAACTGTGTGAGGCTCTGGATTCAATCCTCAGCATCACATAAAACAAACAAATAAATAAAGGTGTCCATTTACAACTAAAAATAACAAACAAACAAACAAATAAGAAGTGGGGCCTAGTGAGAAGAAGC